CTGCTCTTCTTACTCACACGCCTGATATGCCGTAGTTCTCCAAATGTTATCAGCACTCTCATTTATTTCTCTCTATAAAATCCTTATGATGGGGAGAGCATTTCTATCTACTAGTTGTGCGAGAATATTTTCAGGTTTCTTTTCGCCTCTTCAGCAGAAGTTTCTCCACTTGTTTTAAATAGGAAAACACTGATTCCATGTCAACTGATCTCCTAGGAGTTTATAAAAATAAGTGTTCTCTAAAGCTCTTCATCTATTGGCTATTGTGGTACTGATGATAAATCTACATCACTCACATGGCTCCGAAGTGCTGGTAACACACTAAACACTGCTGTAAGACCCGATATGTGCTTGACTTCTCAAGACGCAGTTACTGAGCAGCTGTAACAACTTCTATCCTTCATTAAGCCCTGTTTGAGGACTGTCTTCACACCATTTTATGGTCTTGCAAAAGCAAAAAGGCAAGAAGTACCATACTGTGGTTTATTTGAAGCAAATGCCTGCTGACAAAAAATGATACAGCTTGTTGTGCAAACTTATGAAAAGTCTGAGAGGACATTTGCAGCATCAAATAAAGGAGAATCCAACGTAGGTTTTTGGTCACTGTAAAGGAATCAAATTACTACTAAGACACATTTTTATGAGTTATTCAAAATATATAGAAATATAATACCATGTATATACAGATATACATATGTTTTAAATGTAAAATTTGTGCATAGAGATCTACTCATATCCACATCTTTCATACCACAAATGCACACTACAATATATCTGTCAGCAGGAATAATCATAAAAAGAATATTTATACTCTATACATTTCAAACAGGTCTTAAAATATATTTACTATAAAAACTTTATTACCAAATTCAACATCCTATTTCAACACTTTCAGTGAATAATGAGAAATATACTGTAAAAATGTAAAATTGGTAATCATGATAATATTCTTCTGACACCAACATCCCTATTTTCAGATCTTTAATAAAACAAGTAAACACCAATGGTTAATATGCCAGACGATTTACACTGCTGGAAGAATATGTGAATTCCTAGTACCACTAAAACTTGACAACTCTTTACAGTCTTCATTGGTGACCAAAAGGCAAAGCACATATCATGATACTATGGAAACATTAACATCAGCAAAACTTACAGTAAACTTGCCTGGAATCTCAAAGACAAACTTTACACAGCTTAGATTGTGGCCAAGTATTTCTAAGGGAACAATTGATTATCTCCAGCCACCGGACGAAAAGGCTAAAAATCACATCCCAAGGATACTTTGGGTGTCATAACAGGAATTCATGGCCTATCCGAAGATTTTTTGCTTTCTCTATTGCAGTCTATAGAGTTCATCATTTTAGAAGTGCTACACTCAAATGTGCATAGTAGAACAGATTTTCTTCAATACTTTTTTGAAGAACCTGAAGCATTTTAAGCAGCATGAATGCTGTTGAAGCTTCATTATATAGATATTGCCTTCTGGACACAACAAAGACTGATGGAGGTCTACTAGACATACTCATTCAAAATGAACACTTTCTTGCTTCCAAATATGCAATATTACAGCTAACAATCCAAACTGACAGCCAGAAAATCATTACATACTTTGTGCAAAATACATTCTTTGGCCCTTAAGGATCTCAATCTGAATTTTTAGTGACTACTGTACACACACAAAAATATGTGTGGGTGTGTATATATGTATATGTATGTAAATGACTGATACGTGGGGGTGTTATGTGTGTGTTGGTGTGTGTGTGATGTGTGATATGTGTGTTGTGTTGTGTGTGTGTGTGTGTGATGTGTGTGTGTGTGATGTGGTATATGTTGTGTAATGTGTGTGTGTGTGTGTGTTGTTGTGTGAATGTGTGTGTGTGTGTATGTAGCTGGTATTTTGTTGAGACTGTCTGTGTGTGTGTGTGTGGTGTGTGTGTCATATGTGTGT